GGAGCCGCCACCTGGCGAAGAGCATTCCGGAGCCTCTGGGTTTCCTCTTTCTTTTTCCCAAAGGAAAGTGTTGATTCGCGTTCCCCCCGTCGTCGCGTCTGTGATTTGTTGGTTCAGGGCCGTCCCTGAGAGCGTCCCCTCTGGGGAGAGCGCTGCTCCGTCCTCTGTCCCGCGTGACGTCCGTGTCCCAGGCGTGATCAGCCTGAGGCCGCCTGTACATAATTAAACTATTTTCTGATGACGCTCGTCTCGGGCTGGTCTTGGCTCTGACCCGAGGATGCAGCGCAGGGCCCGGGGCTGCAGGGGCTGCTCGTCCCTGTCCTGAGCCTCCTCGGGCCCTGGGGCAGCCTGGCTGGTCGGTCACGTGCAGGAGGCGGTGGCGGTGTGGGGGCTGACGGACGCTGTAGGCGCTGGGCAGCTGCGGTCGCTGCCCCTCCAGACACTGGTGCCTGAGTGGAGGGCCCTGAGTCTCCCTTCGGAGTGGGGTGTGGGGGACTGTTGGGCGTCCAGGGAAAGGCCAGTTGGAGAAGCTCCTGCCAGCAGGCCCCATGCCCGCGTCCTTCATCCAGTCAGGTGCAGGCGGCCTCCACCCACTTCTGGGGGGGGGGTGATGTATGTGCCCCCCACCAACCAGGCCCCGATGCCCCCATTGGCCAGGCCCCAATGCCGCCCACCATCGAGGCCGCAATGTCCCCACATCAACGAGACCCGGTCTTTCACTCAAATGGTAGTGACCTCGGGCCTTACCGCCATCTGCTTCCCACATCAGGTAAGCTATGGAGAAACAGCTCTCCTGCCACCCCCAGAGCCACTGAGGAACCCCCAGGACACACCTGGGAACCTTTTTTTTTTTTAATTAAATCTTTATTATTCAGATTACCATCTGCTTACATCAGGTAAGCTATGGAGAAACAGCTCTCCTGCCACCCCCAGAGCCACTGAGGAACCCCCAGGACACACCTGGGAACCACCTTTTTTTTTAATTAAATCTTTATTATTCAGATTACATTTGTTCCTCTTTTTTTTTTCCCCCATAACTCCCCTCCTCCCAGTTCCCGCCCCAACCTCCGCCCTTACTCCCCACCCACTGTCCTCATCCATAGGTGCACGATTTTTGTCCAGTCTCTTCCCGCATCTCCCA